TTTTGGTCATATCTAGAGACCACCTACATTTTATATTCAATCCAGGGCTCAAAATACACCATTTAACTCAAATCAACAAATAGTTCAAGTGATCAAAAGAATGTGACCTCCTAGTTGGCAACTACCAAATCAAAATACACATACAATTAACTACTAGAGTCCTACAATAGGATTGTCCTATCTTAAACCTCTGGCACTTTTCATCTATCCTGGCTTGAGGTAACTCTTGTAAATATTGAAGAGAGAGGGGTGAATATATCCATTCAGTAACTAAGATATATCTCAACTATACTAATGCATGTTAATTAATTATATCAATACAAGTGGCAAAATAACACCTCACATGTTTATACTATTCTTTGAAGTATTAATCCCAATCATAAAAACAACAACCATGCGGCCAAGTAAAATCACATTATATACTTCATAACATTAATGATCGTGTGAATTAACAACATCAAATCATACCAGGGACACAACGCTAACAACACTGCAGTGCAGCACTACTATTATCAATGGATCACAAAATTTTACCTGCGAGCTGATTAGTGTTTTCTTCCCAGTTGCAATAGGTTTAAGCACTTGATGATTCTGATGGCTAATTCAAATTGTGGGTCAATGCTTTGTTGGTTTATATATTTTGTGAACCCGGTATTGTTAACATCGTAATTTCCTGCATTTAGATTTATAGCTTTATTTTTTTTTTGTGAGAACAATTAATGGTCAGCTTGCTGATTATTTTATGGCTTTGCCAAATTATTTATTGAATTTTTATATCGTATGAAATTTATTATTTACTTATACTAACTGTATAAATAAAATTTATTATATAAATTAGTTTTATAATTATTATCACATTTGATTTACTAAAAAAATTATGTATTTGAATTGTTGATTAAATAAGAGATTAAATGTGTGTGTATTAAAAGGTGGTGCTAATTTTCTTTTCATAAAAAGAGGAGGAGAGACGGCATCTCTTCAAAGAAATGCTGCCTCTCCTTTTTCTTTTCTTTTTTTATTTTCACACCACCTCACATCACTTTTTTATTAAAAGAAGTATGAGAGGTAGCATTTAGGGAAATGCTACCTATTTCCTTATATTTTTAAAACAGTAATTATAAAGGTTCTCTTGCTTTTAATTCTAAAAAAGTAATTATAAAGGTGATGTTTTCTTGAGTTAACATCATTGATGGTGCCATCATCCTCTGGCGTTTCATTATTTCATGAAATATCATCTAAGATTTTAGATAGCTTTAAGACTTGTAGCATTTTGTTGACACCAAAATTTGAAATTTTAAATTTCACTATAGCCTTTTCATAGTTGTGATAATTAAGTTAAGGAAAATTTGTTTAAGATCTATTAAACAAATTCAAGTTCTCTTCTTTGTCAACTTGTCCTACACCTATGTCCATTTCCTCTTCTTTGAGTGCGCACATAGTGTGAAAGTACTAGAAAATGCTTCTAAATATAGGTGTCTTGTTGGAACTTTGCAATACTGGTGTAATACAAGACTTGTCATTGCTTTTATTGTGGGAAAATTGAGTCAATATCTTGCTACACCTACAGATCATTGGAAGGCATTGAAACATGTACTGAGATATCTCAAAGGGACTATTTATCATGGTATCTACATCAAATTAAATCGACTACTTCCTTTGCTATCTGTGCTTGCTCAAATGTAGATTGGGCATCGTGTCTAGATAATAAAAGATCTATAGGTGATTTCTGTGTTTTCTTTGGTGATTCTCTGATTTCATGGTCATCTAAGACACTACAAGTGGTTGCAACATCAAGCCCAAAATCTGAATATCAATCCTTAGCTAATACAGCTGCTAAAATTTCATGGATCATCTTTATTGAAAGAGTTGAAAATGAAGATGAAACCTACACCAATCATATGATGTGATAATACAAGTGCTAATGCTTTGGCCTCCAATCCTATCTAATGCTTGAACAAAGCATATTGAAATAGATGTTCATTATGTGCATGATCAAGTTTTATCCAAGCAACTTAGAGTTCAGTTCATACTTTCTAATCTTCAAATTGCTGATTGTTTAATAAAGGCATTGCCCATGCAAAGTTCTTGAATTTGAAAAACAAATAGGAGTTGTAGAAGGCCCAACATTTTCAGAAAGATAGGTTAGAAGTAAAGCAGGGAGTTAGAAATAATTTAGATATCATGTTCCTCACGCATGTATACTATAATAAGAATCTCTTTCTTATATGTATTTACCAAGGTTATCAGATTTCAGACCGAACCAAACCGAACCGTCTGGTTCTACTAGTTTAACTGAAAATTAGTGAGGTAGCCAATTCAAAAGCAAGGCCAAACCAAGAAGATAGAGAATCGCTACTGAACTGGTCAAACTAGCCAAAACCAGTAAAACCATTGAGAAACCAGTTAAATCAGCCAAATTATTTTTTATTTTTTATTTGTAAATCATATTTATAAATTATAATTTATACATATTTATACCTAATCAACATTACAAAATGAAAAAAAAACACAAGAAATATATATGAAAAATATATACACGTGTATTCTTTAAAGTTATAAATTATGACATAATTATATATATTTTGGATGAAAATGACATAATATTGAAGAATATTATCTTTTTATTATAATTTTTTTGTTTGAAATTTAAATATTCATTTTTGTAACTATATATGATTATGTTTTCTACTTTAAACATATAATATTTAAAATATTTCAATTTATTTATGACATTTGATTTTCATGACATTGGTATTTTCCCGTTCTCATGCCTTTGTACAGCTGATATCATCTTTTCGTCTACTCTGTACTCATTATTATAGATAACAGTGCACAGTGCGTATGACTTTCACTTGAGCCTTTTATTCTATTGTGGTATAATCTTTATCTTTGATTATGTTTCCTTAACTGTAGCGCTGCTGTTTTATTTCTGTTTCTTCAACGAATGAAAATCTTGGCTGACCAAAAGAAAAAAGAAAAAAACAGTTCTGCCGCTGTGATGTTTTTATGATTAGACATTGTTTTTGTTCCCTTTTAAATTCTCTACGTTTAGCTTTTAATTGTTTGGAATAGGTATCACTATGTCATCTTTGTTTGGATCCACGTGAGGATTCTAGTCCTTTGTTTGTTAGGAAAATATGGAAATAAAATTGGGTTCTCATTGATCCTTGGTTCTTCACAGCATGCTCTTTTGTTTTATATACATAAATGAGTTAGAATATTGAATTTAGATTTTAGATTGGAAAAGAAGAATTCTACCTCCTTAATATCTCATGAAATATAGCATACATTTACCCCTTTTTTTTTTAACTTGATATATCAAGTTCATGAGTTCATCTAACATTGCTTGAGCATATAAAAGTGCCTTATGTTCTGAGACGTTGAATCTCCTCCAAAAATGTCTTATAATTTTTGGGACTGATGGATTATATATCAATTTTGGACCGTCACAATTTTGGGCATGATATTTAGTTTGGAAGATTGGTAGGTATGTCTTGTGTCCCAGCATAACGTAGAAGTTAAGCGAAAGGTTCTTCTAACTAATAAGGGGTTAAATAGTGATAGTTAAATGTTGAAGCTTCTGTTATTCAAGCTGGAAATTAATGACCTCTATTCCCCAGCTTGGGGAGGAATATCCTAGATTATTGTATAATATCTTAAATTAATTGCAATTATTTCAAATTCATTAGAATCTCATGATCTTAGGAGAATTTTTAGTGGATTTTTTTCTTTTCACTCTTGCATCAAACTCAATTAATAAGAACTAATGGTGTCAAGTTTGGATAGCAATTAAAGAGTTCAAGCTCTTTTTACATGATAAAAAGAATATGTTGATTGGGGGAAAAAAGAGAAGGAAAATGATGTTACACGTTTGAATAACTGCAAACAATTTATTAAGATTCGACATTCTATTATGATAATAACTAATGAATAGTTAGAAGAACTCATGTTGTCAAGTTTGGATGGCAATTAAAGAGTTCGAGTTCTTTTTACATGATAAAAAGAATATGTTGATCGGGGGGAAAATTAAAAAAAAATGATGTTACACGTTTGAATAACTATAAACAAATCCTACTGATATGAATAGTATACAATATATAAAACATCCTAGCAGTAAATAAAGAATATTTTGATAATAACTAATAAATACAAAATATTCCTTAAATATTAATAGAATAAATATCAATAGATACCATACCTTAACTATTGGCCAAAAAAAAAAGAAAGATATAATATCTTTAGAGAATAAATCTTTATATTTAATATATCATGACACTGACATTAAAAATTAAGATGCTCTTAAGTTTATAACAACTTGTATTACCTAATTTAAAGAATAAATATCAATATATCTTAATACAATCCCCTCAAATTCAACTTGCTCTTAAATTTATAACAACTTGTATTGCTATGAAGAATTATGACAGAAAGAGGCTTTAAATACAGCAAATATAAACCTGAAATGATTCTGTTATGCATAAATTATAAATTGTTACTAAATAAAATCTTGGAATAGTTCTCAAAAGAAATGAATCAGTTAGTAAAAAACTTAGGAGTGATTTTTAAAAATGAATAACTAAGTTAAAAATTCCAAATGATTCTTGGTAGAAAATTTAATTAGGAGTGATTATTGGCATGAAATTTGAAAAAGTATCGCATGTCAAACTTTTATTACACATTGACCGTCCTAATAATTACTAATGAATATTTTAATAACAACAATAAATACAAAATATTCTTTAAATCTTAACAAAATAAATTTCAATAAATAATATCAAAATAGAATAAATCTTAATAAACTCAAGATGCCCTTGAATTTATAACAACTTGTATTGTTTAATCTAAAAAATAAACCTCAATGTATCCTATTGAGACAATTATACTAATTAATATAGGAAGAAGACAATTATGCAGTCGCCAAGGAGTGAAAGATAGAATTGGGAGTTGGGACGGTAGAAAGATTAAAAAAATAAAAAACAGAAAATGAAGGAGAAAGAAATTTAAATCAAGAAAGCGTGGAAATTATGATGGGCATCTGCCTCCCGTTGTAGTTGCAATGCACGTTCAAGCTGCACTTCAACTTCACCCATGTCTGGACTCTCATCCGGATCTATTCTCGTGCAACTCGTTGCAATGTCCATATACAATCTCCAACATTCTGGTGCTATCTCTCCGACCAAACTAGGGTCAATTATTTTCCCAATATTTCCCTTTTCCTCAAGACTCCTTACGCTCTCAGCCATACTTTTGAAAGATTGCGAAGCATATTCATCAACAAGCATCCGCAGAATTGTGTGGAGGCTTTCTCGGCATATTAATACTACCAAAAGCATTCCAAAACCAAAGACGTCGCATTTACTTGAGATCTTACAACTTTGAAGGTACGCAGGGTCTATGCATCCCAAGGTGCCTCCTTGGCCTTTTCCTTGGATGAATATTTTGGTCCTTTTAAAGAAAGGCCGAAATCTGTTAGTTTGGGATTCCAATGCTAGTCCAAGAGAATGTTATGTGGTTTTACATCACAATGGACGATGGTGCGCTTGGTTCCAACGTGGAGGTAGTGTAGTGCACGTTCTACTCCTATGCTGATATCTAGCCTTGTCTTCCACGAGAGTGCCGGTGAATTGCTATCCCTTTGGTGAAGTGAAGTTGATGGTGGAGGGATCCATTAAGCAGGTAGTCATACACCACCATCATTTTATCCTTAAATTCATCGTCGCAAAATCCAAGGAGGGACACCAGATTTGGGTAGTGTAGCTGGCACGTAAACAGGATCTCGTTCTCGAATATGAAACGCTCGGAGGAATCTCGAGACATAATGGTCAAAGTTGTTGGTTGCTGCTCGAAGTTGGGAAAGAGAGAAGCGGTGAGAAAGCTCTTCTACGGTTGCGGAAGGTCTTTTAGTAAACGCAGATCCTCGAAAGCACTTGGTCAGGAATCCAATGGTCAGAGTGGTGGCCTGCAATGAAAGTGGCGTATATGGTGAGTACAAAAGAAGGCAATCTAAAAGCAAGAGAAGGGGGTCCACATGGACGCGGTTTCAGATCCTGACCATTAGATTAATCTTATGGTTGGAAGAAGCACCAATGTAAAATTAATTAATTTACTAGTTGCCGAAGTTTTTTACCATGACTCTTCATATTAAGTATCTGATGAAAACGTTTCTACAGAAGGCGACAAGCCAGCTAAATCAACGAACCACAAACTTGTTAGCTATTGGAAGAACACAATGGAAAGATTGAATCGGCAAATTGACCATCATGTTATAAAAAAAAATATTTTCTAAAATATTATACTTTAAAAAATATTTATCAAGATATTATAAGTTAAAAATTTGGCCTGATAGGCATTGAGTTTTAAATTTTTTCTTGCATCACTTACCTACAAAAATTGGCTTCTATCTTATTGAATTTATATATCAAATTCTTTCCCACTTTGTCTTCTCTCCTTCCTTCATGTGATCCTATTTTTATGACTCAAAAAAGTATATATAATAGAAAATTCAAGACAAGACAAGACAAGGCTTTCACGTGGTAATACCTTTTTTTTGTCTTTTTTGTGTCAGAAAAGTGAAATGGTACCAAGGCAAAGAATATAGAAAAAAAAATGCATGGAAAGACAATTGTGAAAATCAATGTCTGATATGCTTACATATACTCTTACTCGGCCTTTACAATATCAAGTTGTAAGTTAAAAAAATTCATCCAGCTCCACTTTCTACGTGCTCTGCCAACTTTATTTTTTTTAAAAAAAATATTGCTGTTGTGATATGACATTTTGTTACAAGACATGTATGAAAACATGCAGTGTCAAGTCTTGAACTGGATAGATTCGTGGAACAAATTTTTGTGTTGTATTATTCATCAGCATACGTGTTTTTTTCTTCCCTTATTTCATACCATGTGTGTCCACAATTAAGAAGTTTTGAAAATAAATATGAGCTGTGCAATTATTACATGAATTCTTCTTCTCCTTTTCTTCATATTCTAGCATTTGCAGCTTTTTTTTCCTTTACTTCTTTTTTATACAAATGTTGCATCAGTCTCTACTTAGCTCTCAAAAATCTTTCTCATCTTGACATCAAATTTAAAAAGGTATGTACATCTATTATATGAAGTAATATTTTGATTATGATAAAAAATGTTTCATTTTTTATATATGTTTATAATTTTTTTTATGCATGTAAATATTTATTTTATTATAACCTTGCATTGTTGTCTGATGATGTTATGACTGTAATTTTGATTTGATTGTAAATTTGCTTTTTAAATTTTCATTTGTTGTGTCTCAATGATGATAATTTTTACTTGATAGAAAATTAATCATTAAATTTTGGTTTGATATAATTCATTTCAATTTAATCATTTAAAATATATGCTCTTACATTTTAAAAATTAAAATTATAAAACTAAAGTTATTTCTTAAAACTAAAGTCACATTTTCTATTTTTCCCTCTCACTCCAAGCCATTTTGCTTCTTCTTATTAAACCCTCGATGAAAGATTCAAGTTGAGGAAGATGAATGTCGGTGTGTTAATTAATTATTATATGTTGCTAATCTACATTTAATTTTATTTGAATTAAATGAATATATCAGTACATTAAAAAAATTAATATATTAGATATAACTGGTGACGTGCATGTTCTCTTCTTATAAGTAGACCATATTTGTGGCTAATGAAGCTAATTAAACTTGGTCAACAATAAATGTCATGGGTTTAGTCATTTTTATAATTTGGACTTGTCTCTAGTGCCACGTGTTTTTAGATTTCTTGGATTTTTGTTTTTTGTTTTTTGGTTTTTCCTTCCAGCTTAAGCATCTGAGTAATATGCTTCAGCCTAGAAATAATTTAGAATAAAAATTACTTAATGATTTTTTATTCTATAGTCTTACCCTTACATTCAATGGAAGGATATCCTTTAATTTTATCAATTAATATATAACACTAGCAAGATTGACTCTTGGAATGACGTGAAAGAATTATTAGGCCTATGAATAAAATGTAGATTTTCTAAATTAAAATTATGTGTTTTATATTTTTACCAATAAAATTAAAGAAAAACACAATCATCAATCTCTATAATTTGATTAAGTTTTTCTTTAGTTCTTGTAGTTTTTTTTTAGCATCTTCATTTTTTATAATTTCAATAAGATTAGGTAAATAAAAAAAATAAATTGTAATGAGTTAGAGTTTAGTAAAAAAAAAAAAGGTAGAAAAAGACATGTGCCTTGGACTCCTTGAATGAGAGGGTATGGATTATCAATTTCTCTGTCTGTTAAAAATCATTATTTCTACGTATGGAAAAATTAGAAAACATTTACAATTAATTATGAGATATATATGATACCTTTTAAATAACTAATAATTATCTTTACTAACAAAAAAATTATATACACATAATTTTATGTAAGATTCGTAAATCTAGGGAAAAAAATACTAACCATTTTATATGCATATAATTTTTTGGTTAAAAAAAAAAACAGACATCTTTAACAAGTAGCTATGTTTTTACAAATGGCTTCTTTTAAAAAATTTGAAATGATTAGTTCAAATATACAAGAAACTTATCTAATTAATTATGAAATAGTATTTTAAAAAATTATTTTCAAAAAATTTTAATTGTTTAATGATGATTTAGCCTTTAATCATTATCAAGGTAAAAAATATAAACATAAGTTTAGAAGGAAATGAAATAAATTACTGTTATAAGTTTATTTATAAATTAGTCATGTGTTAAAATATGAATGCTTGAATGTTATTAAAAAAAAATACTTTGATGCTTGATTTATTGTGTAGGGATTAGATTATTTTTTGGTTCCTTGATATTAATTTGATTAATAAAAAATTTTCTTAATATATAGGGAAAATGAACGATAAAAAAGAGCTAGTGTGTATATTTGCAAATGGTTGAATTTTTAATGGTTCAGATGGCGTGACATTTGAATATGATGATATGAGAATAATGAGGATTGATGTAAATATTATTCTGGCCCAACTAAAGCAAGATGTTGGACAAACACTAGAGCTTCCTTCCAATCAAATTGTGTCTAATCTAGTATATAGATATCTAATAGGTATAAATCCACCAAGATACTGGGCATGTAAGTTGAAGAATGATTATGACATAAAACAAATGTGGCATATAAATTTGTAATACTCAAATCAATTGATGGAACCAGAGCTATTTGCACACATTTCAAATGTAGAAGTTGATGACCTCCTTGAATCGCAACCACTAGAAGACTTCGTTAGATCTTCATTTCCATCAAAAAGCAATGACATATAACCAATGGAAGAAGGAAGAAGGCTTAGATTGCACTTAAAAATTTTCCATCCATTTGATCCCCCTTGCCTTAATATTAATAATAATAGTGTACCATCTCCATCACAAGCTCCGTCTACAGATATTATGGATGATTTTGAAGATGAAGATGAGTATGATTTTTATATAAATGGTGGTGATGACCATGATAATGATGATGCCTTTGAAGAGAACAATGAAGAGGCTGCCTCAACTTTCTTCTCACAAATTATTATAAAGTCAACAGCGACTCCTAAGTTTAGTGGAATAGGAGATCTTTACCTCCCAATGATGGGCAGGGGTTTTTCATCAGTCAAGTGTTTAAAAATACTCATGCACTAAGACGTGCAACTAAATTATACTATGTTCCAATTCATCTCACGTTCAAGATGTTTCATTCAAGTGATAAATACAAAGAATATCAATATATAAATTATAAATGTTGTTGCAATTAGAGATTAAGGGCTTGTAGAAAAGGAAATAGAACATCATGGCACATTACAAAATATGCAAGGCATCATACTTATTTAGCAATCTCATTAAGTTAAGACCACCTTAAGCTAGATGCTGATCTCATCTCATCCTATATTATGGCAATGGAAACTGATCAACCAAATGTGAAATTATCCAAAATAATTGAGCATATGCAATTCATATTTGGGTATATAGTGTCATATAAGAAAGCATGGAAGGCTAGACAGTTAGCAGTTGCAATGGCTTTTGGTAATTAGGAGAGCTCATACTTGTTATTACCAAGATGGTTAGCCGTAATCCAACATTTCATGCCTGGATCATGTGTGAGATTTAAAAGTAAGCTATGCTTAGAAGTTAATTCTAAAGTTCAACCTATGGAAATGTTTGTGCATGTTTTTTGGGCATTCAAGTCATGCATTGATGCATTTGAACACTTAAACGCCATTATCCAAATTGATGGTATTTTTCTATATGGAAAATGTAAGGGTACATTTCTTATGGCTATATCATAAGATGGTGATAGAAATGTTAGAACCCTTGCATTTGTTGTGGTTGAGTGATAGGAAATTAGTCGCTTATCTTCAAAATTACACTAAAGCTAACCCTAATGTAATATAGGGCCAACCCTAGGTCATCTCTCAAGGAATGGTTTTAAGTCTAATTGAAAGTTATCTAGTGAAATAAATCAACCAAAGTTTGTAGGAATTTAGTTACCTAGCTAATTACCTAATATGCAAGTAATTAAAATGCTAGTGAAAGTGAGTGAAATGAACTTCCCTTTTCACAATAATGGAACCCTAGAGATTAGTTGATTTTGGACTCATTATCTTCTCATGATTAGGCTAATTTTAGCTTCCCTTTCCTCTTGACTAAAGCTGTCATGACTTAAGAAAATTATCCTAAGCCAATTAACCTACTTAGCTAACCTCCTTAGGTTTTAGATTAAAGTCCCTAGTTCAATTAACCAATTAGTGAAGACATTAGCCAAGTGATTCACTCAAAATCCTCTCTCAATAGCTATGGTCAAACACATAAATTGAG